TGATTTCATCAGGTAAATTCAGGAATATCGAGAGAAATCATCCACAAACAGGAGAAAATAGGGATAGCTGCCCATAGAGGGAGCATGATAAGGGCCCCACACATCCGAATGAATAACATCAAAGGGAGAAGAACATCTTTTGTTACTAAGTTTAAAAGAGTGTCTACAATGCTTTCCAAGTTCACAACCCTCACACTTCAAACTTGACAGACTCACAGACTCAAATAGTTTTGGAAACAAACAACTCAAAGAAGAAAATGATAAATGACCCAGACGGTTGTGCCAAAGCATAATCTGAGCCACAGATTTTGACTCACTGTCTCTGCAAACATGATGGCTTTGGTGAAGAGGAGGAGCATCCAGGAGGTAGATTCCATTCACTTCACGACCACTCCCAATCGTCCTCTTTGAATCCAGATCYTRCAAAATACAGCGTCYAGGAGAAAAAAWTACTGAGYAGTTCAGATTCTTAGTCAAACTACTAACAGATAACAAATTAGTGCTCAATCTAGGAACATGGAGGACAGAGGGTAAACAAATAGAATCATTAATCTTGACAGATCCCTTCCCAGCAATAGGAACATGGGATCCATCAGCTATGGAGACCCTATCTCTGCCAGAACAGAGCTGATAAGAAGAGAAAATAGTGGAGCAATGGGTCATATGCTCTAAGGCTCCAGAGTCTATAACCCAAGGAGATCTCTCCTTACCTGAAGCARAAACATAGTTTGCAGTGACATGTGAACTACCTGTGTGGGCAAAGGAGGTAGAGTGAGCTTCACCTGTGCTACCTGTACCTTGTTGTCCGCTTACGGCTGAACTGGAACTAGTTGTATCCCTCTGATTCAAAAGTAACCCAAACCATTCAAGCTCGGCCCTTACTGCAGCAGCTGCAACAGACTCCAAGCCAATTGTAGTAGGGGGGCCGAAGTATCACCAGTAACTGCCATGTGCGCATTTCCTTTCTTATTCTTCAATCTGGTCGGCACAAGATGTGGGTGAATCTTCCAACAAGTATCTCTTGTATGCTTAGGCTTCTTACAGTAGTCACAAACCAAGTCCCTTT